ATCTTTATTGGATGGTGATTGCCTGTGTTTATTCTGTGCTCTACGAGGTTTGTGCAGCCGAGGTCATGATCTCCCCTCCCGAAAAGACGTCTGAATAATTTGTCAAAAGTTCCCTTACCTGAAAAGCCTGTGATGATGCCGAATGGACTATGCTCTTCTTATAGAGGTCAGTTAAATGTTCTGGAAGTGTATGTCCTTTTTTTTGTTTGTATTTTTTGCTTTAAGATTGACTGGCCTTACCTTTTGGCACACACCCAACAATGCCCATTCTTTAAGTGTCTGCTCACATTTAGAGAAATTAGCCACTGTTATGGGTACAACTTGATGACCTGCCACAAGTGACCTTCCAATCTTCACATCTGCTGGCCTGAATGGGTCTTCCACAAGCATCGGATTTCCTTGGGGATGTTCTTTTATTTTACCCCAAATTATATTTTTTGACATAGGGGTATTGTAGTTGACTTAAGTGCTGGGACATGCAAATCAACAGATGCAGCAACAATTACTGGAATTTGGCCTTTGTTGTTCCCAATCATCATTTTATCAAAGTTATCTACACACTTCCTCGGCAGTAAGTAGTCCAACTCTAATATGCATTGGTCTTCAATGTCAGCCAAGTATACTTTGTGTTTGTCCTTCATGCCTATGAGCTCAATAGTTACCCACACTGGTCCCCACAACCTTGCATAATGTCCTGTCACACCACAGAGCTTCTGTATGGCTTCTGGTACTCCATTGTGATCCAGCATCTTGATACTTACAAGGGTTTGCTGAGATGCAGAATCTATGACAAAGTTGCACCTTTGGCCATACAGCTTTCCTGTCATGTATACACTATGTGTGCTTGTCACTTTACACTTAGCTGTTGGGAATTTAACAATGGGGGTTGGTAGGCATACCTCAACATGAACCATTAGTGGTTCCCCGAGGCTGACTTATTGGTAGTATTCTTCTTACACTGGCTTCTCACATGTTCTTGCTCTCCACAGTTCCAACAGCCTTTCTGGGTAGCAGCCTTTCCTGTCATTGCATCTTCCCTGTGTTGAAGTTGCCGGCACTGAGCTCTCTTGTGCCCAGGTTTGTTACAGTGTTAGGAAAGTCCCTCAAACCTATCTGAAAGCTGCCCTTTTCTGGCCTTGAATCCTTATGACTGTACCCACCCT